ACATACTTATATTACATTAAAAGGGTACTGGCTCCATTATATGTTATGATTATGCAGATGGTGGGGTATTATATTCCCGGTATCTCTATCACTGCATTGCTTCTGCTCCCAATGCATTACAGTGATTGCAACCCCAAGCAACAAAAACAAATTGCTAACAGAATATGAGACATTCAGAGAGGGATGTATGCCCCAAATAGATGTTGTACCACAAAGAATTCTGTAGACCAGTAGGGGTTTTTAACACAGGACCTGTGATAGGTAACATGAGATGGTAGACCGGATTTGGTAAGCATTTATAAAAGGAATCTGTGACGTTTACATTTTTTTATTTCTTTTTATAGACCTAAAGGGTTTTTTATAGGAAAATAAGGCAAATTGAAATTCTAATTTTTATGACAGTAATGTCCAACAGGAGGAATACTTACAGAAATCCTTGTCAATAACCTGTCTTATCCAATCTCACTTGTGCACTCATCTGACCATTCTGAAGTAGACGGTGGGAGAGGAGTATTAAGGCTGATTTATGTATGTCTTGCAGCGTATGAAAAACGTTTCCCTTTAGTATACGGCATTATTATGCTAAAGAGCCCTACATGGAATAATGACTTGATTTTAATGCTTGCATCATTCTACATATTTGAGGTCATGAGTGACCAGGAAAACATGACGGAAGAGGCAACTCCAATCCTTGTCCATTTAAATGGTCAGAAAAGTACTCTATAGAAACATAGAATGTGACGGCAGATAAGAACCATTCGGCCAATCTAGTCTGCCCAATTTTCCAAATACTTTCATTAGTCCCTGGCCCTGATCTTATAGTTAGGATAGCCTTATGCCTATCCCACACATGCTTAAACTCCTTTACTGTGTTAACCTCTACCACTTCAGCTGGAAGGCTATTCCATGCATCCACTACCCTCTCAGTAAAGTAATACTTCCTGATATTATTTTTAAAACTTTGTGTAATACAAATGTTATACTTGTAATATTTTTATTACACACAGAAGGTTAAAAGCATAAGAGTCTATTTATACAGATAGTTAATACAATGTTAAACAAAAATCTGCACACCAGTCAAGCCATAAGACTTGCTTTTCCACAGAAATATACAGAGAGAGAGTTGTTACCATAGAAACAGTTTACGGAGTCTGTGAATTCCACATCAAATTTATTACATGTAAGTAGATTTAGGAAAAATTATCGTTACTCTGTTTGTATATATTCCACTTCACTGCAAAATATATTAAGGGAAATATTTATACAGACTCACTCCACGCATCTCACATTATTGGCACACAACCAAATGAGACTTGTCCTCAACTTCTTTGTAAGTGATTGTTGAAAATGATCTCAAGTTCCGAATCTTCAGTTACTTTTTTCTCTCTCCCTCTGCCTGAAACAAGCATCCTACCATGTGTTTTAAATAAAGCCTATGATTCTCCAGGAATTAAATATACAGCCAGAAGGGAAGGCTTAATGGGAACTACAGGAAAACGGTATAAACATTTCAAATGAATAAATGTTTGGGGTTTTATTTTTTATTTTTTTGTTTGTGTACATCTGCATTTAAAATTAAAAAAAATGGCAGTTTTACATTAAATGGGAGCATTGACAAAGGAAGGGCAAATATTAGGAAAAATAGTGTGGAAAAATTGTTATTTTTCTAGCAGTTAATTTCGACCACTGCAAATCTCTCGGCAGTTCGTTGCATTTCCAAGACTTCTGAATGAACACCCTGTCCATTCTGTCATGTAGATTGTTAGCTCTGGAGTCCAGGATAATTTTCTACAGTCTATATTCTCTCTAAAATGTGCAACATGTATACAGATCACTCACATAACTATTTCCTATGGGTTGTCCTAATGTGATTGTGGCGCTCATCGTGCAAGCGCATTAGGTCCCCAATGTCGGGGAAGGAGGAGAGGGACATTGGCGCTGGATTCAGGAAAGTAAATGGTTTTTAACCCTTTTGGCGTTGCAGGGGGGATGCTTAAGTGAGGGGGCACTATAGTGCTAGGAATACAATTTTGTATTCGTAGCCTATAATTTCCATTTAGCATGCATCTGTTTGTGTGGATGCAAGGGACCCTGCAAGATTGCCTCACCCGGGGCCTTGCAAGCTGTATGTGCGTCCTTGGACAGAAAGAATGTAAATGAGAGATCGTGGAGTGTGTTTAGAATGTGGGAGAATATTTCTTGGATAGCTAAATGCAGAGAATCGTGGAGAGATATTGGAGAACATTAATGCTGGAAGTAGCTCAGTCGAGGGCCTCCGAGAGGAAGTGAATTCATTGCAAACAGTTGGAAGTAGTTTTTTTTTTAAAACACACGTTATAATGAATTCCTCTCTCAGTTGAGGATAAAAGCCAGAATCCTGTATCCTCACCCCCGCATTACTATAGAAACAAGGCTGTTCACAGATAGAATGCCGCTTAGTATTGTTCTGAGGCTGCCCTCTGCACTCATGTCCTCTCAGTGAGGCTCAGCCGCTTGCTGCAAAAATTAGAGTTCATTTATTTATAATGCACCAACATGTTTCGCAGAACTGAAATCATTTCTGATATTTGCTGTTGAGTTGTGCCAACATTAGCTGCCTGGTTGCAATTCTAGGTTAAACAAATCCAGAGTATCATCACCAGAAGACAGTCTCGCAGTTGTTACATTTGTCCCCAAATTAGATTTATCTTTAATAGTGTTGCTAGATCCATCATGTATACGTCAACAGATATCACTTACACATAGTGGTGTGAAGCGCATGAAAAGTTTAGAATAGACTAGCAACATGACCCCACCCCCCACCCCCTGAGGACCGATGGGGGTTGTCACGGTACCCCAAGCACCGCAACAAGCGACAGGCACAATGGACTCCCTACATGAAGCGAAGCAAGGGGCCACCAAGATGGTGGATCACTCTGACACGATAGTGTCGGACAAGCGACGGCAACAGCATGCTAAAACAGAAACCGTAGACCACACAAAAGACTCTATCGCATTAATTTTTGACCGCTTCTGGCCAAGTTAGCGGCACGCTTACAGCCTGACACACCAAACCGAAACCCACCCGCAAAAGGGCAGAGCCATCGGCGGAAGGAGGACAGAGGATACTCACCAGGGCAACTCGATGGCCCCTACTCTAAACCCCCACGTCAAGGACCCCCCCGGACCAGGAGCAACAATGGGCATGACCCAGAGGGGGAGAGTGGTAAGGTGAATACGTAAGCGACCAGCTAAACCTCTCCGAACCACCCCACAAGGGACGACTCTGGGCCACACAGGCTCCCAGGCTCGTGGCCTACGAGCAACAGCTCCCACATGGTTCTGGGGCAAGGGAGGATCCCCACCCCCAGAATGGCAGGGCTCTACCCAGCGGAGACAGACTCCAGGCGCAAGACCAGAGCCCAGACTGCACTCGACACTCAGCGGTTACCAGACCCGCAGCAGCACAGCACTCCGGGTGCATACCGGAGGAGGGCATCCTACCGAACACCGCATCTGCACGGACAACCATCCCCACGGTCCGAGCACACAGAGGAGCCCCAGCCAAATGACGCCTCACCTGATCATGCTGGACCCGACCGAAGAAAGGTACCTGAAACAGGCCAGCAAGAGGGAGACAGGGGACACCAGTGAGGGACTCACATGGCAAAACTCAGTCTGGCCCCAACGGGGAATCGGCTGACTCTACAGATAACTAGAGGACTCTCCCATCCCTGGCAAGCAGCTCCAAATGCACCCGTAATAGACTTAAAACGTTTTTTACAAGCGCCTTTTTTTTCATTTTCCTTTATTACTCTTGTTGCTACGACTAATACAGTAAGGGAACAGAACTGCAAATAGCCAGGGCCAGTGTATTAACTTTGCCTCCTTTATGCACGCCTAGTATGTGACACGATCGTCTCACAGCATAGCGAGTTAAGCATCTATGCACATTAGCATTGCCTCATCGTTTTAAATACCATTATGGTTTTATGTCTTTTTCCTTAAAATAACTGGTTGCTGACCTAAGCCTACAATTACACTACGAATCCCTACCATTTGTAATCCAGCATATCCCTACCATTTGTAATCCACTCTTGTATAAAAGCTAGACTAAGCATGTACAACACAGACTGAATGTTACTCTGATATCCAAAAATTAGCAGTCTAGATATACCAGCAATGTTACCTTTTAGTTATGAATCAGAATTAGCTGTTAGACCCTCTACTGTTTACTACTTAAACAATTGAGTTAATTAGCAAACTGTTTATTATAGTTCAGACATATGTCTAGCTTATCATTATGCTTTTCAAAACAAAATATGTGCAAATTCTCTATGCCACTGTTTCACCTATCTATGTTCAAATATAAATGCACGCTGTTGTGGCGTATGACTATGCTATGTACCCACCTGCACAATAGAGATGTCGCGAACTGTCCACCGAACTGTTCGCGAACTGTCCGCCGGCGAACAATAGCGTGTTCGCGTTGGGCGAACATATCCGATTTCCAGTCCGCCCCCTATACGTCATCATTGAGTAAACTTTGACCCGGAACCTCACAGCCAGCAGACACATTCCACCCAATCAGCAGCAGACCCTCCCTCCCAGGAAGTGTCTGCTGACTGTGAGGTTCCGGGTCAAAGTTTACTCAATGATGACGTATAGGGGGCGGACCGGAAATCGGATATGTTCGCCCAACGCGAACACGCTATTGTTCGCCGGCGGACAGTTCGCGAACAGTTCGGCGGACAGTTCGCGACATCTCTACTGCACAACAAAAATAAAGAATTATAAAAAAAAAAAGGACTTGTCACCATACCTTGCATTTAGTAGAACTGGGATCTCCGCTAGTTGGACCTCCTCCGAAGTTCAAATATGTAAGACAAGTATAATTGATGGTAGATGCAATAAGAGCATAATTGCTAGATAATAAAAAAAATGTAAATGACAGTTATAAGCATTCTTTATTCTCTTAAATTTAGTACAGTGTATGTGATATGATACGACACATCATTAAATATTTCTTACCTAATAGTACTTAGTCATAAGTTATACTGTTAAGTCACATACCTATGACTAAGTACCACTAGGTATGAAACATTTTGTGATGTGCCGATTTCATGTCATGTACACTGTGCTAGCTTTCATGAGAATAAAGAAGTAGAAAAATCACATCAGCAGATTTGGTTTTCTGGTTATTAGGAAGTTGACAGAAACTACTCTTAAAGGACATTATAGGTACCCAGACAATTTTGTCTCAACGGCGGGAAGTCGAAGGAGATGAATAAGGCACCTGCAAGGAGTGGATATCTGCGCTGGAAAAAAAAATTAAATTTATGGGAAGCCCTGAATTTAAATGCTCAGGAGAATACTATAGCGTAATAAGTTTGTATTCCTAACACTATAATCTTTGTGACATTTACTGCTGTGGCAGATGGTGAGGACGCACTCTCAGAAACGCAGAGACCTTGGCTCCTTTTCCAGGAAAGACAACCTTAATCTCTACCAGGAAGAATAAAGATGGAAGTGGATATTTTAAAAATGTACCCCTCCCTTCCCTAACACAGTGAGCAGAAGCCTACGCTTTTATCAGTCAGTTCCTTAAACAGTTCTCTTACTTTGGGCACTCCTTTCTAGAGACAAAGTTGTAATGAAAGTTGCCAAATGAGTTTGAGACATGGTGTGTGTGTGCACATTGGGTTACGCAGCTTCAGAAAAAAATGTTTGATTTTATTTTATTTTTTTCTAAAGCAGTCAGGTCACATTAATAATGAATCTGTTTTAACTTCACCTGCAGTGCTGGCCTTGGTTTTTATTTTATTGAGTTTGTTATAATGTTATGTTCCTGGAACTGATGATCGCAATCCTTATTTGTGATTTCATCCATTGTTTGTAGAAACTTCAGTGCCAGGTGCCCAGCTTCCTCACTCCGTGTTGTATTTTCTTTTTCAAGGTTATTTATTTATTATTTTCTCATATTACAAATTCTACATACTTAGCAACAGTATCATGAAGCCAGGTTACCTGCTTTGCTAGCCACAATTGTGAACTAGCTCCGAAGCATCCCAGAGTCTAATTCTATCTCTTTAAGTAACCGTCTAGGTTGCCAGAAATATCCTTAAGATTTTTAATCCAACTTCAAAATTTTAAGATTGAAAATAAACCGTCACATTGGTGGACATTGTATAGGTTTCAATTCCACTTTACCTTAGCTGCTGAAGATGTCAAGTTCCATATTTGTCAATGAAACCACCAGTTTTTGTTAAACTGCTCCCTCTGTAAAACAAGAGTTTTCACCATAGACTCTTTTTTCCCCATAAGCACTACACTGAGCTGTAGTGGTTATAGTGCTTGTAATGCCCCTTTAACTGGGCTCATATTTGTTAAATTCTAATGCATGGAAACCAAAGAGTGACTTTCTGCCTATTAAGAAATTAAAAGGTTCTGTGATGTCCGCTAAACATTTTAACACCATGAGAATTCAGAATCCTGAGAATTCTACGCCACCTTTACTTTGCTCCTATTAGAGGTTTTAAGCACAAGTTGAGGCATAATTAGTGTAAAAAAACACTATGGTAGGCTGAGGCCTGTTACCTGCTTAGTGCCTTCCCAAAGCTTAAATAGTGAAGAGGCTGAACCCCTTTACATTTCGAAGTATATATATGTAAATGGCTCTGGTTTATACCTTGCTGTGTCTCTTGTAATGATAAGTGCTCTGAAATATTTGACCTTTCTAACCTAAACAACTAACCCACTTAATTTCTCCTCACTTTTATCTGTTTCAATCAATGCTTTATACAAAGCAGCAAATAAAGACTGGGAAGGTTAAAATCCTGCATGCTCAGTTCATTTATTTTTTTGCTTACTTTACGATCTGTAATTGTGCGACCTTCGCTAAGAAAACATGCTTTGATGAAGTCGTAAACCAGGCTGCTAAAGGTGGGAATATAACAAAGAAGGCAGATTAGATAAACAAATTATTTCCCAGTGCAATTATTTCCCAGATAAACCTATAGTAATGTACTTTAAAGTGATAATTTTTCACTAATGGCTCTTGAACATCAGGGCAATCTTGGAATTCAAAATGTTAGATTTTTTTGTTTTTTTACATTACTGTTTTAATTTTGTTTAGTTTTTGTTTTTTGATTACTAATAACATCTGTATGTTTCAGTACATTCCTTGTAAATCTGTTTCTATGAAATGATAATACTTTTATATATATATTGTGCCAGGGATAAAAAAAAAAAAATACAGATCGCTTAATTAGCAAGTGGTAAGCAAGTTAAATCGTAAAAAATTCCTAAAACGAGGCACTGTGTCTTCTGAGATTTCTGTACAAATAAATCGTTATCTAAAATTAATAAAAGGTTTTAACTAAATGTCATCTTTTTTGTTTCATACGTACAAGAAACAGGATTGCATACAATATAAATATTCTATATGATGTTGGGAAGGCACATGTCCTCTTTGCAAGGAAGCCTTCTACGACTACCTGGGCACATAATCATTTATTTATTACACGTGAGTTTACAGAGGAAGAGGTTCTATTTCAACTGTCAAAAGTAAAGACAAATAAGTCAATGGGACCTGATGGAATACACCCTAAGCTATTAAAAGAGCTTAGTGGTGTACTAGCAAAACCATTAACAGATTTATTTAACCAATCATTGTTAACAGGAGTAGTCCCAGAAGATTGGAAGTTAGCGAATGTTGTGCCCATTTACAAGAAAGGTAATAGGGAGGAGTCGGGCAACTATAGGCCAGTAAGCCTTACTTCAGTAGTGGGGAAAGTGATGGAAACCATGTTAAAGGATAGGATTGATGAACATCTAAAACACATGGATTTCAAGATCAGAGACAACATGGGTTTACTTCAGGGAGATCATGCCAAACTAATCTTATTGATTTTTTTGATTGGGTAACTAAAACTATAGATCAGGGTGGTGCAGTAGACATTGCTTACCTAGATTTCAGTAAGGCTTTTGACACTGTTGCACATAGAAGGCTTATCAATAAACTGCAATCTTTAAGTTTGGATTCCAATATTGTTGAATGGGTAAGGCAGTGGCTGAGTGACAGGCAACAGAGGGTTGTAGTTAATGGAATATATTCGAAGCTTGGACTTGTCACCAGTGGGGTACCTCAGGGATCTGTACTTGGACCCATTCTCTTTAATATTTTTATTAGTGATATTGCAGAAGGTCTTGATGGTAAGGTATGTCTTTTTGCTGATGATACTAAGATATGTAACAGGGTTGATGTTCCAGGAGGGATAAGCCAAATGGCAAATGATTTAGGTAAACTAGAAAAATGGTCAGAATTGTGGCAACTGACATTTAATGTGAATAAGTGCAAGATAATGCATCTTGGACGTAAAAACCCAAGGGCAGAGTACAGAATATTTGATAGAGTCCTAACCTCAACATATGAGGAAAGGGATTTAGGGGTGATTATTTCTGATGACTTAAAGGTAGGCAGACAATGTAATAGAGCAGCAGGAAATGCTAGCAGAATGCTTGGTTGTATAGGGAGAGGTATTAGCAGTAGAAAGAGGGAAGTGCTCATGCCATTGTACAGAACACTGGTGAGACCTCACTTGGAGTATTGTACACAGTACTGGAGACCGTATCTTCAGAAGGATATTGATACCTTAGAGAGGGTTCAGAGAAGGGCTACTAAACTGGTTCATGGATTGCGGGATAAAACTTACCAGGAAAGGTTAAAGGATCTTAACATGTATAGCTTGGAGGAAAGACGAGACAGGGGGGATATGATAGAAACATTTAAATATATAAAGGGAATCAACACAGTAAAGGAGGAGACTATATTTAAAAGAAGAAAAACTACCACAACAAGAGGACATAGTCTTAAATTAGAGGGACAAAGGTTTAAAAATAATATCAGGAAGTATTACTTTACTGAGAGGGTAGTGGATGCATGGAATAGCCTTCCAGCTGAAGTGGTAGAGGTTAACACAGTAAAGGAGTTTAAGCATGCATGGGATAGGCATAAGGCTATCCTAACTATAAGATAAGGCTAGGGACTAATGAAAGTTTTTAGAAAATTGGGCAGACTAGATGGGCCGAATGGTTCTTATCTGCCGTCACATTCTATGTTTCTATGTTTCTATCATAGGAAAAGCTCAGTGACAATATCTAGCACCATTATAGATGTAACTTATCTCTGCTGTGCACCTCAAACCACCGCAGTAGAATATATTGGAGTAAGGGAAAACAGAACTGTCAATAACTCACACACTTTTATGTTATTAAAGGGACACTCTAGTAACCAGAACCACTACAGCTTAAAGGGACACTATGGGCCCTAAAACAACTTTAGCTTAATGGCACAGTTTTGGTGCATAGATCATGCCCCTGCAGTCTCACTACTTTATTCTCTGCCATCTAGGTGTTATACCACTTTGTTTATGTAGCCCTAGTCACACATTTGTACATGTGGCTTGCACATCCTTCCTAAACACTTGCTGTAATAGAGTCAACTAAAGTTTAAACTTTCTTTTTTGCAAAACCTGTTCAAGTTAGACTTCCTTATCTTCTGCACTGGTAATAACCTTCTAGACAATGAGTGTCCAACCTTTTGGCTTGCCATATTGAGCACAGAGGAATTGTCTTGGGCTGCATATAAAATGGATAGTATAGTATAATATATACAGTGAGGGAAAAAAGTATATGATCCCCTGATTTTGAACGTTTGTCCACTGACAAACAAATGATCAGTTTATAATTTTGATAGTAGGTGTATTTTAACAGTGAGAGACAGAATAACAAAAACAAATACTTAAATCCAGAAAAACGCATGTCAAAAAAGTTCTAAATTGATTTGCATGTTAATGAGTGAAATAAGTAGTTGATCCCCTATCAATCAGCAAGATTTCTGGCTCCCAGGTGTCTTTAATACAGGTAACAAGCTGAGTTTAGGAGCACTCCCTTTAAGAGAGTGCTTCTAATCTCAGCTCGTTACCTGTATAAAAGACACCTGTCCACAGAAGCAATTAATCAATCAGATTCCAAACTCTCTACCATGGCCAAGACCAAAGAGCTATCTAAGGATGTCAGGGACAATATTGTAGACCTACACAAGGC